GAGAAATGCTGGATGAGCTTTTGGGCATCAAGTGCCCATCCTCAGGTCTCTGGGGGCATGTCTACACATGTCACTATGGCAATGTTGTTACTGCACTGTGATTTAGTAGTTCCTTTTGGAAGTACTGTATTGCACTGTACATATGGCGCACGGTTATTTTTAGCAGCTACTTCACTGTAGCAGTGCACTATACTGGAGAAGTGTGTCATTACAGGGAAGTAGCTGCTGGTCATGTGTAGACACCTGAGGATGCTACATCACCATAGCAAGCTGCTACAGCGACGTAGCATCATGTGTAGATGCACCCTGGATGCCCCAAAGCTTGTCCAACAGCTGTCTCAACTCTACAGCCCCGCCAATAAAAGATATGACAAAAATCCTTGCCCCTCATACTTTTTTTTCCTATCTGAACTAAGGGACACTGATTTATTATTATGAGAGGGGGAGGAAGTAAGCTGTGAAATGGTTTTGGAAGAACAGTTCTGAGACCAATGATAGCCCTTGTGGAGACAAATGGAGAAATAATGAAGAAATACACATCAGTTGAGACAAAGGTTTAGAAAATGTAGAGCTATTATTGGTCAGTGGTCTCAACAGTCAGTGCCCACTAAGACTTTATTATCCTTTCCACCAGCCTGGTGATGATATAAGAAATGGCATGGTATAGCTGGCTGATTGAATTTGGAAAGATACAAGAGAGGTTTGGTTACTTCAGATTCACTGGAACTGGTACAGCTCTACTGCAAAGGACGTCCTTCATTGCGCAGGAGACCATGGGCAGAATTCTATTTCACCTAGCAGATGACCAAAGTGCAGTTCCGAATTATCCAACTACTGCGTCTGAGTGACTCCATTACTCTGTCTGGGGGCATAATGGATCCCACTAAACGGATGGGGGGCAATCCAGAAATCAATCCTATTCCTATAACAGGGGTGCTTACTTTCTTAGTGCTCCTGATAGGTCAAGGTAAAAGAAAATAGAAATTATTTGATCTCCTTAACAAAGGGAAAGGAATCGGACAACAAACAAACCAGCCCTGCATAACCAGGTTTACCAGAGAGAGGCAGAAACCAGCTTAAAATAAAAACTTATCTTTTGCATAAAGTTTTTGTTTTGTTATCCTATTCTACCTGTACATTGACTAATCTGGTACTTCCCATCATGGCTAAATAAAGACAGTCAAAAAGCCCAAGGCTGAATCAATTCAATCTTCTCAGGTTAGTTTAAGCTGCATAGACTGAACTGATAAGCCAGAGAACAGACATTTACTTTTGATTCCAGAAATGCAGCCACATACCTGCAGTGGCCCCGGCCAGAAGCTAGGGGGAACTAAAGCAAGCCTCCCTGCTCTGCTGGAACAGACAGCTTTGGCCAAGGCTAGCCCACTCACTAGGATGACCACCCATCCCTAATTGGGTGGGACAGTCCCAATATTTAAGCAACAAGTCTTGGTCCCTGGCTGAATGACTCCAGGACAGCCTGTCCTAGGTTCCCCAGTACGGCACAGCGATCCAGGTTTTCCATTTGCTATGAGAAAACCACATGAAACTGTGGGTTTCCCCTTGCAGGCTGTTAGAGTTTCAGCCTGCAAGGGGATGCTTGGAGCTGGGGACAGCAGGACACAGGGGATGCCACATGGATGTGTGTGTATGTACACATGCACATGGCTAGCAATACAGCCCCAGACAGCAGCTTCCCTAGGTGCCTGCAGCTGGACATCAGCTTCCCCAGGTGCCTGCAGCTAAATAAGGGGAGTGGGGCACAGAATGAGATCCCCATGGGGAGAGAAGGTATGTAGCAGGGTTTACGGCTGGGGCCTGGTGCTAGAGCTGGGGATGCTGCCCAGCTGGGGTGATGTATGGGGCCTGGGGCAGGAATGTGCAGCTGCAGGGCCTAGCCAGGGAGCAGGATGGAGCCATGGCTGGCTCGTCTGGGGGACGAGACAGGGCGGGGCAGTTCCCCGCTGCTGTGTGCATTGCCAGAGATGGGGACATTGGGGGGGGGGGGGCACATGCCCCCCAGATTTGTGCAAGGGTAGGGGAAGAGGTGGGCTCAGGGTTCCCCTGCCCTCAGGAACCCCATGCTGGCTGCACTGCTATGGTGAAGCAACCCTTGCCTGCCTGGTAGCAGTGGAGGCAGTGGTGCAGAGTTGTGCTTCCCACTGCTGCCGGTGAGGCAGGGGGTGCCCCACTGTGATGGCATGGCCAGTGCAGAGCTCCTGGGGAAGGGCAGCGGGGCAGGGAACTGTGAGCCCTCAGTGGACAGCCCACATCCTTTTCTGTCCCCCCGGAAGATGGTCACCCAACTGCCTGCCCTGCAAGGGGAGGTTTATGGGGAAGTGTAAAGCATCCTGGGACTGTGAGTTAACTTGAATCTGAAAGGGAATGGGGAAAGAAGTTCAGTAAACCAATTTAACCTAAATCAATTAAGTCTGATAACTACATCCATCCAGGTTTATCTTAAACCACTTTCGGCCATTTTGGAAGAGATTTATGTGCATTGAACTTCTGTTGTGTTACAAATATGAACTCGTTTCCAGTCACTTATACCAATTATGTGTAATTTCTACCCATAGCCCATGTGTAACTAGACAATAATTAAGATGAACTTTTACACAGAAGTATCCATTTTTTATCTTTACCTAGTTTTTTGAGAATGAAGAAAGGAAGCAATGCTAAAGAGATTTAAGAAAAAATAAGGAAAGCAAAAATGTATTACCTGTCAAACTCTAGCCACATTGTTTTCACTCACACATTCACATGGCACAAATGAAAAACATCAAGAACAGTCAAGAGTGATGGGACTACTGCATTTACTTCATTGAGAAGTCAACAAAGACTTTTTTTAGGTTGGCAGAACTACTCACAATAGCACGTATGTAAAAATGAAGTTCTCTGTGCCCCACCAAAACTTCTAGAATCAAAAGTATACTGGTAGTTCTTGCTGAAGGGAATAAAGCCATATCATATAGCCATATTAAATCTGCAGCAGGAAGGCTCATAAAAATGCCTTAAAGCTTCCTTAATTCCATCAACTTTGATGTTGGTGCTCCAGCTTCTGACCTTGGTAAATTTGGCCTGCAATAAATCTGGCCAGTTGAAAAGTACAGCACCACAATGCCATTTTAACAATCCCTCTTCTTACCAAAATTACACTTTAGCCATTTGATCTTTGACCCAAGAGAAAGTGCTTTCTTGTTTTTACATAGTTACTTAAACCAGTATTTCCACTATCTTCCCATTGTTTTCTTAAAAACCCTTCATTATAGCAAAAAAAGGTCTCTGATAATCGCAAAGAGCCCTATCTGAGACTTTGGAATTCCCTTCTCATCCAACTATCAGCTACATCTGACTTTGCATGGCTTGTTGGGTCACCCAGATATGGAAATGTCCAGTCAAAGTGGAATGTCCATGGGGAAAAAAAAACATATCTAGCCATAGGGAATGATGTATCTCACATTATAAACCTATAGTATAAAGTAATCTTCTAATTAATTATTACAGCTAGAAGAAAAAAAAACATTTTTTTCTCTACACAGCCTTTTTTTTTAAATTATAGTTGACAGTGGTAAGAAGCTTGCATGTATGTGTGCGAGTGGGCGGGCATGGGTATATAAAATGCATGGAATATTAAATGGCTGTAGTGATCTTCCCCTCAAAACCAGCCATCTTCATTCCTAACAATCAGTTAGCTGAAGCATTCAGTGTCATCCTTTCTACCGCAGGGTGCTTAATTAATAAACCTTTAGTTAATTGAGTTCTGGCTACCAATTCCACAGGGTTTATTACTCAAACATATGCAAACTACATTTCCATTTTAAGCAATTTTCATTCTAGCTCTTACACGTTCAATAAGCTGTATGGCAATTCACTGCATTCAAATACTAGGTATAAATGTAGTCTGGGATAGCCACTCCTTGGACATCTTAAACTGTAGCCTGCTGCTACACACAAGACCCTGTAGTTAAGACCACAAGTAGTTAAGACCACAAGTTTAAACATTAAAGCCTGTTGAGAATTTTTCAACAAAACTTTTTTGTCAGAAAATGCCATTTTGTATAACTGGCAACTTTTCACAGGAAAGGGTTGGCTTTGATGAGGTTTTTGATCTAAAACAACCCAGTGAATGAGTTTTGAAAATGTCAAAATACTGCGTTTTTGACATTTTCTAAATGAAATTCCCATTTTGACAGGGTGAGAGGCTTTATGAGGTCTTGGAAAAACAGATCATAAGGAACAATCCTGCCTTAAAGAGTTTTAGGGTGTAAATAGGACAGGCAGGCAAGCACTGGTATCCTCTATTTACACTTGGGAAACTGAGATGCATGGATCCCTGTACGAAGTCACAGAGGAAGTCTCTGGCAGACAGGGAGCAAACACAGATCTCCCTCAACCTGGTGAAGTTCCCTACCTATATAGCATCATGCTTTTTTCCTCTTGCAGATAAAAGAGATCAGTAGGTCAGAAATCCAAAAAGTGTGCATATGCGTGCAAGACAGAAGGTTACCAGACCAAGAGACTGAATTATTTTGTTTATCCACAGATAAAACCAAGAATGGGCACTGGCAGTACAGTACCAGCTTCCACACATCCTCCCCTGTGTCAGTTATGAACTACAGGGGCTGTCTCCTCATGACAAGAAGGGACTTCAGGTGGTATGATCTTAGCGTGGCCTCCATGCTAAGCCTACCAGCAGCAATGATGATTGAGACCAATTCCATTGTTTTCATCCTCATTTTTGACATACAGACCTGTACAAACTTCCATGCCAGAAATTAGCACACTAATCCATTTTTTAATAGTCAGCAGATGGCAATACCGTTTAGTCACTAGTGAACCGAGCTGGATCTATAAGGCCAAATAAGTTGGCTCAGCTCCATTTGGAATGGAACCTATGTTCATTCACATGAGCAGAATATTTTGCTCAGAGCCTTTATTAGTAAAACAGTTGACTGAAATGTTGATAGTGAGGAAATAGAAGGGGAAGGTGAATGACTTACTTCCACCTTTGCCACTCTTCTCCATGCGATACTGGTAGATGTGCAGAGTGAAGAGCATGTGGGAGTTCCTGTGATCCTCTTCATCACAGTCTCGCTGGCTACCTCGGCGTGAGGCAATGGCTGCGTCGAGAAAGAAGGCAGCCTTCTCCGCTGTGGGAGCACGAAGCTCACTCTGGTTCTGAAGCTATAAGACAACCCAAGGAAAAGAAAGCACAGGATTTGGCACTAGCAGGCAACATATCTTTGTGGCCCCAAAATCAAAGTCCAATGAGCCTGAAAAAATACTAGGAAAGAGGAAATACCCTTCCAAATCAGACCCTCTGTTCCTTTTGCCTATTACTAGAAGGCCCATTCTGATTCTTTAGATCCACTGCCATGTCAAGGCTCCCTAGAATATATGGCTGTACCTTTGGCTGCAGACACAATATGAAAATATGACAACCAAAAATAATTGCAGGGTTAAAAGGATAAAGGTAAATGTTGGTCTGCTGGGTTACTATCCTGGAGTCATAAACCATATATTACATAACACTACTGTGGATTTGCTGGGGCTTTTTATTTCCAGTTCATCAAAATTCATTTTCACAAGTGTGAACAGGCATTACTAAAATATTTGCTCTGGAGAACTGAGATTGCTCCTTTATCCCCTTTTGTAGTTTCAGAGAGACAAACACTTGCAGCAGAGATATAAACCTGTGCATCCCTTTTACACAGGTTGTCCAGACCCATGTCTTCATTAGTGTCCTCCCTATCTGCACCCAGGTCCACAAAATGTACATGAGAATCCTTTGTGTTTGTGGCAATGATTCTTTAAAGGAGCAGTGGTCTCAGAGTAAATAAAAAACCCACTTCATCACAATGATGGAAGCAGGGACCTCACTAAAAGGGCTCTTTGGGTATTTAGTTTGGCTTGAAAAACAAATAACAGACCAAAATGCTATTTTTGCATTTCAATAGAGATGGCCAATGATCTGAAACCACAATAGGAGAAAGAGAGAACCACTGAGGCGATTCCTCCCCTGCACCCTTGCTACACTTGAATGAAGGGCCCAAGGGAAGACAGATTCTGCCCCTTCTCTTCAGGGGCTGCCACAGGCCAATGCTGCCCTGATTTAAGCTTCCAGTTGCAATGGCACCTAAAGGCCTTTCAAGGCCTAGAAATAACTTGAAGGAGAAGTCGTTGGGCTCTGGGAAAGGAGAGGACTGTAGGCTGTGCATAGCCCTTGTAGGATTTGGAGAAGGAATGCAAAGCAACTTCCTCGTACCTTTGCCCCATAGGCTTTTGCACCTACGTCAGGGTCAGGGCAACCCATTAAATGAAGCAGGACATGTAATGTACATACATTAACATTTGCTGGACCTCAATCATAGTTGCCAGCACTGGGAAAGGAAACTGCTCGTATCTTTCCCAAATGACAGCCGGGATTCATAGATTCATAGACATCAGGGCTGGAAGGGACCTCGGAAGATCATCGAGTCCAGCCCCCCGCCCAAAGGGCAGGAAGTCAGCTGGGGTCATAGGATCCCAGCAAGATAAGCATCCAGTTTCATCTTGAAGGTGTTCAATGAAGGCGCTTGAACCACCTCCGGTGGCAGGCTGTTCCAGACCTTGGGGGCTCAGACAGTAAAGAAGTTCTTCCTTATGTCCAGCCTGAAACGATCTTGAAGTAGTTTGTGACCATTCAACCTCGTCATCCCTTGGGGCGCTCTGGTGAACAAACGTTCCCCCAGATGCTGGTGGTCACCCTTGATAAACTTGTAGGTGGCCATCAGATCACCCTGAGCCTGCGCTTTTTCAGGCTAAAGAGCCCCAGGGCTCTCAGCCTGTCATCGTAGGGTCTGCTTCCCTGACCTCTGATCATGCGCGTGGCTCTTCTCTGGACTCTCTCAAGCTTCTCCACATCCTTTTTGAATTGTGGAGCCCAAAACTGGACACAGTACTCCAGCTGCGGCCTCACTAAGGCCGAGTACAGGGGGAGAATGACGTCCCGGGATTTGCTTGAGAAGCATCTATGGATGCAAGCCAGCGTTTTGGTCGCTTTACTAGCCGCCGCATCGCATTGCAGGCTCATGTTCATAATGATGAAGGAAAGTAAGCAGTCTTTCTGGAAATATAGTTTCCAGATCAGCATGTGCTATGCAAAAAATAAAATTAAATTAAAATTGGCATTACAACATTATTCATAGCGAAACACAAAGAATGTGCCACATTCTGGTAGACATAAAATATGTATTAATTCTTACTGTGGTCCCAATTCCATTTTTTAGCTACTTTGACTGGTATTAGAATGGCATTGCATTAATGGTATTGCATTATTTATGAGAATTTAAAAGGTTAGATTTTTTTAAAGGGGAGCAAAACTGTCTTCATACTCAACTCTACAGAGAAATGTTCAGATTTTAAATGGTTGTGAATTATTATAAACAGCTAAGCCTAACAATCTGGTATATATCCATGATTCTTAAAATTTCTGAACCAACTACAAATAAAGTGTTAGCCAGGCTTTAAATAAAACACTTTATGCCATACTTAGTGTTTTTTTTTTCCCCCACCCCTTGGAAATATGAAGCAGGAGAGTACAAAAAAAAAAAAAATGTAGTATTTATTAACAGAAATTATAGTAACAGAAACATACTTTAGACTTGGAAGAAACACAAATATTTAATAAACTTTACTAAGATCTTCCCCGGGATAGAAGTCAGGCTGATGGGCCTATAGTTAGCCGGATCCACTTTGTGTGGCTTAATGGCATCACACTGTACACGTGCAAGAGTTTGAGTGGTTTTAAATGAGTTTGCATTGTTGCAAACTAAACTACATCCCAATGTAGTTTAGCTTGCAACGATGCTTTGCAGCTATTAGTCAACTTGCTCCCCGGCTGTGGGAGAGGCAGGCAGGCTCTGCAGAAGAAAAGGATCAGGCCTGCTGAAGGCAGAAACAGGGGCCCGAATGTTTTTTTTTCCCCTGGCAGAGGCCGGTGGGGGGGAGGGCATGAGTTGATGGTGGATCAAGTAGCCCCTGAGCTGAAGGGGGCCCTGCTCCTTCCCTCTGTGGTGGCAGCTGCTAGCAGGCTGTGTACTGCCCCATAGTGGGGTTGGAGAAGAGTTGGATCAGGCTAGGTGCTGCCTTCAAGCTGGGGCAGCACCCAGCCTACTAGCAGCCCACCTGGGTGGCCCTGGGGGGGTGCTGCCACTGCAGAAGAAAGGACCAGGCCCCCCTGCAACTCAGCAGCCACTTGGCCCACCAGCAGCTTGACCCCCTGGCTGCAGGCAGGCTCCGCCAAAAATAAAGAAAAAAGGATTGGGCCCCTTGCCGTAACAGCAACAGAAAAATAAAACCCCTAAATTGAAACAGTGGGTTTCAATTAAAAAACCCACCATTTCTATTTAGGGGGCATGGAATGCAACCCTGAAGACTAAACCCCCGTCACATGTACTAGTGCCCCTAGGAGGCAGTAGCTCCTCAGTTTCAGGGGCTGTAATTAAGCCCTCCCTGCGGGCTTGCTCATACCTTATTCAGTTGCATAGGTACAAGGCCTGTGCTACGTAATAAAAAGAAAGAATGGGCACTTTTGTATCAAGTCAAAATAAAAAGAAGCTTAACAGAAGGCTGCTAACTCTGTTTAATGGTTGCCCAGGAAGGAATATGAGCCAGTTAAGGTGTTTCTGCTGGCTCTCCATGCCTGAAGAGAATAGGAGTCATTCTTGACCTACCCAGCTCAAGCATTTCTTTCTTGGCAGCAATTAATATGTAGCTATTAATGCTTCCTACAACATTACTAATGCCACTGCTATAAATAAGGTAGTTTATAGAGAGATAAACAGCCATATTACTAGCCTCCAGCTATTTGTGAAGTACTGTAAATATTTTAGCTTGCTGTTTTACCACAGAGAGATCACACTTTTTTTCATTTGTTGTTGGAAGGTGGTGAATTGTGTTTGCTCTGAAGGTTTTCATGTTTTATTTCAAACACAGGCTCCTGCTCAACGTCAGTGATCCTGGAGGTACAAATATTTAGGACAGAAAAGCAGATGGCCCTGCAGCTGCAGGTCATAAAGTTCCTATATACTGTAAACACTTTCAAGTCTACAAAGTTGGCGCTTCAAGTAGCTCTTAGTTTTGAACTATCTCAGAGCCCCACACACACACACACTTCCCCTCCCCTAAAGATTGGCTTCAATTTAAAATAAACCCTCGATTCACCTGCATGCCACAGATGGGGTCCTCACAAAGGTAAACCCCTGGGGACTGACCATCCTGTAGGCTGCCAGTTGCCACCTCTGACAGCAAGTCCCTCAGATTTTCTTCTTTTCCCCATACTTCCACAGCAGAAATCCGGACCGAGAAGCGGGCTCCCGTCTTCTCCTTGCGTTCGTTAATCAGTTTGAAGAGCCAGGAGATGGCACAGGGGATAATGCCAAGGTTCTGCATGGAATCATCTTTTCCGATCATGGTATATGATTTTCCTGTCAGGCATGGGGGAGGGGAGAAAATATAAAATAAAATCAGACTTGCTTCAACCAGAGCCTTCTGTCAAGTAGCATTGTTTTGCACAGTAGGAAGAAAGCAAGCAAGTATCGAAAATGACAGCACTGATAACTGGTAGATTGGACTGAGCTGCAATCCGCCTCTTTTGGATCATTCTACCACTATAAAGGGGTTAGAGAGCACCCACCTCTCCCTAGATGGAAATTCCCCTAAAATCCAGGGAGTCCCCAGCTAGGATATAGCTGGTTTTGCAACTCCAAGTGCAGAAATCACACCAGAGGGAAATACTAAGTCTGGATAAGGTCTATGGCAGGGAAGCATGCTTTGGAGCAGCCCCTAGAGGTGATTTTATAGTATGATGAGGCTGGAACTGACAGAATTAGCCCTCAAACCACAGAGTGGCATAAGACTCTTTGTGGTCTCCTCTCTCAGCTTGCCCCCAACAGAAGCTTGGCTCATCCCATTATCTGGCCCAGAGCTGAGCCACAGAAGGTGATTTTTTGATACAGATACAAACTTTTCCAAAGCTTGTTGTTGTTTGGTTCTAGGATTTTGACTTAAAGAAGTCTTTGCTGAAAAACATCTGATGATACAGAGGTATACCAGGCATGTCATCATTTTAGGTATTACTTTATATGCCACGCTTAAGCATAGAGATATGCCAGATAATGGGATGAGCCAAGCTTCTGTTGGGGGCAAGCTGAGAGAGGAGACCACAAAGAGTCTTATGCCACTCTGTGGTTTGAGGGCTAATTCTGTCAGTTCCAGCCTCATCATACTATAAAATCACCTCTAGGGGCTGCTCCAAAGCATGCTTCCCTGCCACATTTCATAATACTAAACACAACTGATATTGATCGCTGTATACTTTTTTAGACAATTACTCATGCCTTTATTTTTACCTTATCTCAGTTCACAAGTTAAGGACCTAAATGGAATCTAGCAGTAAGAGGGTCAGTTCAGCAAGCTAATTTTAGACTTTGACTATTTGTGGGAATGTTTATGAGTGTCTGCAGAAGTAGAAATGGTGGGGAGGGGAGTTAATGATGCAGCTGCATAGACTCAGTGAATGTGTTGTAGTCTAGGTTATATCACTAAAAGACTGGCAGAAATCATGACAGCTACCCTGCTGGTGAGTTCTATCCCTTGCATTACAAATGACTCCTGCTCCAGCATTAAAAAACCATGAAAAACTAAGGGTTAAAGCCTATTTCACTTTGTGTACCAAATGGTAGTTATACAACTGTTGAACTGCGGTTTTTGGCACCTATACAAAATTTAGGATGCAGCTCTAGGTGTGCAAGCAGCCATATGTTCACTAAGCATGCTCAGTAGGGAGCTATGCGGACTGGACAAAGACCCTTAATGTGTGGGGTGAAGAGGAGTGCTCTAACCACCAGGCCATAGGTTAGACGTTATCCAGACCCTTCTCCAGTCCTTAAGCTCAATTGCACCTTGCATTTAACATTTATCAAATCAAACAGATGAAGAGCAGTGAGGAAGTTACTACCCCACTGGGAGCAGGGACACAGGCTAGAACTCAGGAGCCCCCTCCCTTGCAAAATAACATCCATCAAACTTGGCATGTCTACACATGCAATTGATGCACATGAATAAATTCTGGAGCTTATTGCTCTGGAGTTAATTACTCCTGGGTGTGCCATTTGCATGTGCACCTGGGAGCAATTAACTCCAGAGCAATAAGCTCCATAGTTTATCCAGGAGCAGCACAATGAGCCAGGTCAGAGAAGCCCCAGCTAGCAGGCAGGCAGCCCCCACACTGAAGAACCCTCATGCCCCAGCCAGCCAGGGCAGCATCTACACATGTGCTGCTGCACAGTTATTTACAAGTATTATTCTGATGCAGAGTAAATTAGTTTACTCTGGCCTAATAGGGGCACATGTGTAGATGTGTAACATCTACTGCACAGCTAATTAGTCACCTGCACAGTAAACTTCTCATGTAGATGCACCCACTAAGCCACACACCTTCTGGCTTGTTTTCTTCCCCCTGGCCCTATGTAACTTTCTTTTGATTGCCCAGGAGATTTGCATATTGCCAAAGTGGTAGGTTGGTAGATAGAGCTCTTTTGCCAGGAAGTAGGAGATGCAGGTGAATGGGGCATAGATCCTGGATCTCCCATTCCCCAGGCAAAACCCTACCTCTAGACCATTGGGCTAAATCATGGAAAGACTGTTGATGTCATGGTTCTCCTCCTCCTCGCTTCCAGTAGAGCAAGTCTGTTTTACCACAGAACAAAATAGAATTTGAAATTGTACTAAAGTGCCCAGCACTTGGAATTCTACCCTAACTGTTCAAGTATTCATCAATTCTGGGTGCACCAATGGAAAAACAGGGCCTGTTAGCGAATTGGACCATTTAATTATTAGAAAAGTAATGTCTGCTGAGTTTTTTGGGGGGAAGGTGGAGAGTTTGGATTTTTGCTTTTAATGCAGCATAGCTCTAGGGAGAGGGCATTTAACAGACAATAATGCATTTAGTACAGTCATTGCTATTAAAGAACCAGCATTTCCTAACAGATACCTCTCTAGTTTTTGTTAGGCATTATTAAAGAGGACATAAAATTTTAAGTTAGAATGTTCATTATTTACAAAAGAATCTAGAGCATTGACCAAATGTTTCCCCTCTTTTCTTTCCCTTTTCTGAATCTTTGAAGCTTGGGTCATATAAATGTTTACAGAAAATGAATCTTGGCTAGACACAGAAAGTTCAATTCATCATGAAAATCATATTTATTTATGATAGAAGAGGCAGCGGTTTATAATACAACCAAGGAACAGAAAATATATGGCGTATTTAGGAACCCAATCACAATGCTTGAATATTGACTCACAAGTATCAAATACTTAAAGGAATACCTGACTAGACAGATCGTAAGCAAGACATAGATTAAAAATAGTTGCAACAACACCTCTACTAAAGAATTCCAAACACAGGACACGTTTGGAAAAGTTAACTTGAGGGTGATTCATTAATGAGGAATTGAAGTTAAAACTATCTCATAATTTTCTATTACTTCTGTTGGAGCAGTGCCTACAGACATCAGGCAGGGTCAAGACTTAATTGTAAAAGCACTGAACAAACCAACAATTAAAAGGCAATGCCTGCTTCAAAGACCTTATGATTTAGGATTTGGGTAATATGCAAAAAATGATAAATGGACAAACAACAGAAGTGAAGATGCAGGAGAAACAGATGTGTGAACAGCATATTCCAATTTCAAATACTGTTGGTACACAACATGGGGAAATATGGGAGTTATTTTTGTTTTCCTTAATTAAAAATAACAGGTCATCTTAGACTCCAAGTGTATACCTCACATATGGAAAAGTAGTAATACCAACCTAGTCTGGCATGGCCAAAGCAGAAGACACAGCCATCTGCCCCATTCACCACTGACTGGATCACCTCAGCTACAGTCCCAGCACATACTTCAGCCTGCCACAGGTAGAAAAAGATTACCAAAGATATGTAATGCAAAATATTAAGACAATATTATCTATATTAACGGCTGTGATCTCACCATATTATTTGTATTGCAAATAATATAGCGTCACCTCTAAAGGCCTATTCTTGCTTTCTGTACTGGCATGGATTGTCCCCTTGAGCGAAGGAGGCTACTGAGAACAGAAGGGTGACTGGGATTTGGCTCCAAGCCAATGAAGTTTCCCCACAAAATCCCTCTCTTGAAACTTCATCATCCTTTGAAAGAGGGTCTCTGTAGGTTAAGAAATGGCAGATGATTCTATTCCAACACATTTACTATTTGCTAAGACAAGGTGAATAAAATGCACATGACAGAAGCAGACAATCTGTATTTGGGAGAGCTGGTTGAAAATAAACAATTAATAACATTAATTGAAAATTAATATCTTGCAAAAATAAATTTACCTTTCTATGTTAAAATAAATCAAATTTGAAAAAATTTCAGCCCATTCTATTGCTTCAAATATTATGGGCAGGATCCTGGGTGCAACAAGTGCTGTAAATGTGTTGTCCAATGTATGAGTGAATAGATCATTTGTAAAGACAGAGAGCACAACCACAACCATTTTGCATCATCTCATGTAGGCCAGGTTTCTAAAGTATTTCTACCACTGCTGTAAATTTCCACAGCTGGACCTATAGTAGCAATATTTAGAATTTCAGGGGGGGGGGGGGGGGGGGGGAGGAAGAGCAGAAATCTACTGTAGATAAGACATTTGTTGGTGTTTTTCCCCACATCCAGTTCACATACTTTTTATAGTAGTGCTTTCTAATTAGTTTTCTTAACTATCACTTTTAGTAGGCTGTATGGCATGTTTGGTTTATTGAGCTCATTAGGCAAAAATACAAATCTAAAAGGAGAACCATGGCATACACAGATCCAAGATAGAAAAACATCTTATTGAACAACAAAACCCTACACAAATATTCACTTGTTTCTTCATGAAATGAGGACATCTTCACATGATTCACAAGAACAACAATAGTTTGGGGGATACGATCAAAAATTGATATCTGATGTCTCCTTGACTAGACAGCTTCTTATGTCACCAGTACAATTAATTGCACATATATTATTAGAAACAGCTATTTAACACAAAGACTCAAGTTGATAATCCCATTATTGATATATGCCTTAATCATGTGCTGCTGTTACTTGTAAGCTAAATTCAAGTCTGGCCTAAACCCCCAGAATTATGTAACGTTGTAGAAGGGTTGAATTTGGTTCTTAAGCACATTAGTGTTTAGATCCTTATCCAACACATCATACTTTACTTACCTGAGATGCATCTTGGGGGAAAACAGCATCAAAAGCAAACATCTTTGGGGGAACCTGGTTGCCCCTTTTCTGAAAGGCATTCTGACCTCCACAGGACAACGGGTCATACAGAGTGATTTGCTTCTTACGGGGATCAACCTTTAGGAAGGAGCTGGACTCAGAGGTGTCCCTGGTGAGTGTGGAACAAATACGTACCATGACTTTCACCTGTCAGTAAACACAAAAAAGAAATAACCATCTAATTAGAGCATTGAATATACCCAAGTATAGGATTTTTTAAATGGGCTTTCAAATATACTGGGCCAAATTACTCTTGCTTCAGGTGTCTGAGCAGGACATGATCTAAAATACATAATGAATAAAGCCAACAATTCCCTCTCCCTAGCCTCCACAAGGAAGTCATGTATTTATAATTACCAGGTACATCACTGTATTTTAATGTCTGTGTTACTCTAATACAGAGGTATTACATCACCTTCTTTGTCTTGCTATTAATATAAATTGAAAATTAACTGCACCCCAGTGGCCCAATTAAGCAAACCAAAAGGTAATCGAGACTGCCAGGCTATCAGAGCTGGTGCTGTTTCAATAAAATAAGCGCATAAAAGCCAGATCTGTAATTTACACCTTTCAAATTCTAATCCAAATGCAAAGACATGAAATGCCCAGTTCTTAGTGTCATCATCAAAGAGTTGTGAAAGAGCCCAGTTTTAATGGTCAGCTTTTGAAATGATCTCCAAGGGACTGGAAGGTAATAAGCAATAAAGGATTTGTTAAAACATGTTAGCTTACAGTCCATTAGATGACTGCATAATAAGGTGTTATTTCTCTGACTAAGATTCATCTCCGTGCATGTAATGAGGTTATGCAGTATCCTTAACCTAACATGTAAGCAATTTGGATATCAGCAAAACGGGATATAATTCAATCTGACTGGTTCCTTTATTTGACCCAGGACATACTGAATTTCCTAGACTACATTCTCCATCTTTGTCAACTCATTGTATTTACTTGAATCCAAGATGAGGTTCTTTCCCTCAGTCAGCATGGGGGGAAGCCTAGGCTTAGATTCAAGCACCATCCCAGTGTAAGGGGCAGGGAGGCTCAACTCCAGCTTCACCTCTGGGCCCAGGGCTGAAGCCACAGCTAAGTTGCTGTCTGCCCCAGGATGGAGTGGCTTTCACTGGGGGAGGAAACCACATGGTGGAAGGAATGGAGAGGAGAGACCCATGGTGTGGCTTGGGAGAAGTGCAGGAGAAACCATATAGCTTGCCCCCCTGCTGCCTTCTCCTCCTCTTCCCCGCCACTGGTTCCTTCAGATCCAGCTCTAGCCCCGCTGGCTCTGAACTGGTCATGCCCTGAGCTGCTGCCATTGCTTTTACCTGACCGGGCTGGGCTGCCACAGGGGCCACTGCTGCTGACAGCCCTGAAGTGGAAGCCAGAGCCACCCAGAAGGTAAGTGGCAGGGGAGGCAGGAAGTTGTAGGGAAGGCAATAGGGGGACAGATGGCAAGGCACAGGTATGGGGGACAAGAGGCAGGGGGGCAAGCACTGGGGACAGGTAGCAGGGAGGCAGGCACAAGCACAGGAGGACAAAATGGAGAGGAGATCTTAAATTCAGATGTCTTGGATTTGGATAAATATAGTATATTTCCTTTCAAGTCATAATGGAGATCATTTTGTTCTAAAGTAGAATGACTCCTGACAACCAGGCTGAATTCATGTTTAAGCACCTCTTAAAGATGTGTTATTTTATCAAATATACAGAAGTTTGGGTACATAAGGAGAAGTCAATTAAGTGGCCTCTTCCCTCCAGGGTCAAAGCATAACTACTGCTTTCATGCTGGGAGTTGCCTGCATGTGTATCAAGAGGAGATTATGTCCCCAAATTTGAGACAGACACAGCTTCTTTCCCTCCACAGTGCAAAGGGGGCAAACTCATGTTGATACCACCAAAAGGCAGCTTGTATATATAAGGAAGGAATGGACCCAACGCCAAACCCTGCTGTCTTTCTGGGGATATGACTCTTTGTGGGTATGGATCCTCTTTCACGGTGGCATTAGCTTTTCAAAAAAGAGATGAGAGCAAATCAGAAGCTTTGGGAATTCAGAATCATTTGGAAGATAATGGAATTAGACCATAGATGAATCAGGTTCATTCTCTGTTTTAGTCCGCCTTACTAAAAAGGGTCATTTGATCCTAAATCTTTTATCCTAAGAAAAAGATTGAGGATCAAACGAAAACTGAAAAATCTGGCACCCTGCATGTGACCCAGATACTCTAGCAGTGCCTGCAGCTGCTCCTCTGGAGACAGCCACTGCTGCTGCCACCTTCCCCACTGTCACGGCAGGATCCTGCAGGAAGGCTGTGATCTCCTTGAGGCCCCCTCTCCGTGTCAAGTCAGCCCAAGGGCACCCTCTATTCTCGCCCGCCACGTCTTTGCTCTTAAGTTAAGTTGGGAGGCTGCCTTATACCCTCTTGGACACGTAGACTCCTGGACCCCTCGTGGATCTTGTCCAGCACAAATGGGTGCTTCGGGGCACCCTAGCCTTATGGGCTACGTGTGGCTCCAACCTCCCCTGATACCACACCCCAAGCCTCGCAGATGGGATAGACGTTGGTTTGTCTTTCTCTGTACACTGACGCCCCCTCCTGGGGCTCTCCTTGCCCACTCCGGGCCTTCGCTGCGCTATCGCTCTCTCTCGGGGCCTTCTCTGTGCTGTTGCCCCTTGTCTGGGCCTTTTCAATAGTGCCCCCTCCTGGGGCCTGCTATGCCCTTACTGGGGCTTCTCAATAATGCCCCCCTTTCTGGGGCTCTCTCTACGCCCACACTCGGGCTTCTAAAATGCCGCCCCCTTCCTTGGGGATTTCCGCGCCCACACCTGGGCTTCTAAAGTATTGCCCCCTTCCTGGGACCGTCACGCCCGCACTGGGGCTTCTCAACAGTTGCCCCACTCTGGGGCTTGCTACGCCCATACTGGGCTTCTTAAAAAGGCTGCCCCTTCCTGGGGCTCGTTGTGCCCAACTTGGGCTTCTCAAAGTTGCCCCTCTCTAGGGCTTGCTACGCCCGCACTGGGGCTTCTCCAAAGTGCCCCTCTCTAGGGCTCGGTACGCACTGGGGCTTCTCAAACGCCCCCTCTTTGGGGCTGGGGTCTAAGCACCCCGTAAGCTGCGCCCTCACTGGCGCCAGGGTCCACACGTCGCTGTGGGTTCCCCCTGAGTATGCTGCGCCCTCACTGGCGCTAGGGCCCCCACACAACTGTAGGTCCCTATGAGTATGCTGCGCCCACTCGGGCGCTGGGGTCCTCACCCTCTGCTGTGAGTCCCCAATGAGGCCTCCTCCAACCCCTATAGCCTCACCCAAACCACCAGTGTAATAAACAACCACAACCAAACACAAGCCTCTTGGCCACAACTTAACTCAACGTCACCTGGCTAAACCATGGTGCTCAAACCTCTTCGAGCTGCCCTCCTTCACTCGGCTAGAGTGGTTCCTACAGTGCTCGCCTCCGAGCTCCTATCTCTGTGACTGCTAGCAGGGAACTGCCAGCCTGGCTTCTGCCCTGGGTTTTATAAGGGCCAGGCCCTGCCTCCTACAGGCAGCTGATTCACATTAGTTGCCCCGGCAACCCACAGCTGTGCTCCCTACTCACAGCCAGGGCTCCTTAGGCACTGCCAGAGCTTCTCCCCTGCCAGTTTTCCCCTCTCTAGGAGCGGGGCAGCGAGGTGCGCCGTGACACCCACCTTTTCCCTGCCCCCAGGCATCCCTGTACTGTGAGAGGGCAGGCAGGTGGACACATAGACAAAGCTGTGTTTGTAGTTTGGCTTGTCCTTTCCACCCTTCCCATGCTCCCAGGGCCCGCAGGAGGGGCCATGGGGATGGTTTCCAGCTTGTGAGACCTTCCAGGAGCAGCATTAGCAGCAGGGGCTGGCCTCACCCCCTGAGGTACAGGCCCAAGGTTTGGAACGGGGCAGACAGTGGAAAGATCAGGGCACAGCGGTTCTGCCTCTGATGCCCTTAAGTGGCTCCAGCTAGACGAGTGATTCCCAACTTTTTTAGCCTCAAAACCTCCTCCAGAACTTTTCTGAATTTAGGTCTGTGATTTTTAACTGAGGTGTTGTGAAATTCAGCAAACTTATGGAATTATTTTTCTAACAGTACATTTCAGCACCAGTATGATTTCCTTTGGCTGAGGAATACAATATGCTGTATGTTTTGAGAAAGGTAGGCACACACACACACACACACACACACACACAAGCTTTTTTGGGTGTAAGAGTAAAGTGTACCACCAATTGTAACAGCCAAAAGAAAGGATGCCCCAGGTACCAAAAGTCTGAGAAACAGTCCTAAGAAAAAAATGTTGTCATTAGACTATCAATTAAAGTAATGCCAAAAAAGTACTTGACCAAGTATGTTAAACATGCTCCTAGATTCCTGATTTTATTTATTTATTTTGCTTTGCCTCCCCTTTTCTCCCCCTTTCAATTTACTATTAGAGGCATTCTGTTCAGCCATGCCTTGAGTGGGTACAGCTATCAGTGAGCACAAAGAGAGCCAGAACTGCTAAAGCAAGGTATGAATTTCACCAAATATGCTTATTTATTCCAAGTGAGTCTAGGCAGTTTGGGGACAGAATACCAACCAAGTCAATGGGGAACAGATGTAGTGAAACAGCGAGTCCTTAGAAGTACAAGAAAACAAAGGGCAAATATAAGCCTTTAACTGTTTGTTTGCTTTCATTCTCTTCCCTGTTTGCTTTCTCTGCAGTAACCCACCATTTTAAATGAATACCAGTGGTGTAACTAGAGTGAGGCAACTGCCCCAGGAGCCAACTTAGGTGGCCACTGGAAGTCAACACAGCCCTGTGCCCTGGGTGCCTAGCCTCATCACTGTGCCACTGATGGATACCCATATTTAGAACTGACATGCTGAAAATCAAGCAAAATGCAATGCTTTAAATAAAGATTAACTTCTTGGTATGGTTTAAAAATCCCTTTTTTCTCTATGGGTTTTTTGCTGTTATGAACACATACCCTGCAGATACTTGGTCATTGCATGAGCAGAGTAGAACTGGAGACTAACTGACCTCTTTGGGCTGAATAGGTGCTATGGAATTCCCATTATAACCTAATTTATACCAGTATTACAGCACTGTACCCCTGTCCTCTCCCAAATATACTGGAGTTCTTCCTGGTTTACACCA